GAGAGAGAGAGAGAGAGAATTTTCTTCAAGACAGACCTAAAGGTTCATAAGGAAGGTTAAATCTTTTAATTTACACAGAGATGCCCTGTGGGCTGGAAAGGGAGTTAGAATACAGCATCTAAAGTTGAATCCCATTTAATTTGAGTTTAGTTTATTTTTCTTATCTCATCCTCAATATGTATCACTGTAAATTCAATAATAAAAGAAGTTTTGGGAAGACGTACCTTTAGGAGGGGCTAGCTGAAAAGCCAGATCAAAGCCTCCTCTTACTCGGAAGAGTATATCCATAGTTTTGGGAGATCACCTAAAACAAATGAAACCACAATTCCCTGGTAAAGCAAGACAAACTCATCTTCACATAAGTTAGAATCTATTTCGGGTTAGGATAGGCCATTAATTTTTCACTTATTTCATGAGTTAATTCCTTATGCGTAAATATACCACAACACCTGCAGATTCTAAAAAGGGGTTTTTCAAAACTTAATTCCGTACTGAAATCACCTAGGGAGCTTAAAATTCTGACGCCCAGGAGGCCAGAGGATCTAATTAATTGGCATGAGGCCGTCCCAGGCACAGGAGTATGTAAACCAACACCACCACCCCACCCCCACCCCACCCCACCCCACCCCCCACCCCCGCCTCGCGCTGCTTCCTTTCATAGTGACTACAGTGTGAAAAATCGGTTCAGCATCAACGCACCAATACTTCTAATCATGGTCTTGATGGACTTGGCAATGACATGAAAAACATCAGCGGTAAAAAACTAGTTTAAGAATGTGACGAGAACACTCGGCCTAATGTGCTGAGAGACTGTGGCTAAGTCAGTGAGAGCAAAGTAGTTACTGAGGGTGAGAGGAGACACCGGTGGACCTCTCCATCTTAAAAGGTCCAAACACGATTTCACACTTAGAAAATACCCCGAGATTAGAGTACAAGGATGCTAACCTAGCCGCCATAGCTAGAGAAAGCATGTTAGACAGAATTCACATGGCCTGGGTCAATGTCACCACTGACAGAGAGAAAAAAAGGCATCTCAAAATGGAAGAGACTAGCAGTTCTTAATTTGAATCCATACGCTGAGTTTCAGGTAGCAAATGAGTTACGTCAAATGAACCTGTATCATAATGTGTTTATGTGTGTATGTGCGGGGTCGGGGGGTGGATCTTGATGTTTCAAAGATTTTATCAGATTCTTACAATACGTCCTGAACAGACTAAAGAACTACTGTACACAGTGGGAACCTGTGATGCTCTGAAAGAGAATGGCTTCCCATAGGCTGATGTTTGAAGACTTGGTCCCCAGTTGGTGGAACTGTTTGGGAAGGATTAAGAGGTGTGATGCAGCTGGAGGAGGTGTGTCACAGAGGCAGGCTTTGGGGCTTCAAAAGCCTCCCACCATTCTCAGGAGGCTCTGTCTCCTGTGTGTGGATCAAGATGTGAGCTCTCGTCTTGATTTGCTGTTCCAGAGGCTTTGCCACACCTCTGCCACACCACCACAGACTCTTAAATCTCTGGAACTGAAAGCCCAAGTAAACTCTTGGTCATGTGCACGGTGTCTTATTACAGCAATCACAAAGGTACCAACACAGAAGAACCCTATCCTGAAACAAATGAGCCAGTACTCACACCTGTTACCCGGACACTGGACTAAATAACCAGACATTGGGTGTATATTACCTTTGATCTACAGGACCTTAAGAAGTAGGTACCACTACAGTTTTGTGTTTTGCAAATTCCTTGTCACATTTCTGTAAGAGTGATAGCATTTATTTATATTATACACTGTAACCTGGTGAAAGATCATACCACATGTCCTCATTTCACTTCATTGAATTTGTCCTATGCAAACAATAAAAAAGTTCAATACGTAATGCTGTCCATTTATCCTACTCTTGTTTATCATAAGAAACCAAACCCTAAAGAATTGGAAAATACTGTGAGAGCTACCAATAAGAAGTTTTTTGTTTGTGTGTGTGTGTGTGTGTGTGTATTAAAGGCAGGGTTTTCCTGTTAAGCTCTGGATGTCCTGGAACTCTCTATGTAGTCCAGGCTGGCCTTGAACTCCAAGATTCACCTGCCTCTGCCTCCCAGGTGCTGGAATTAAATGAGTGCACTACTACCACCTGGCCCAGTAAGATGTTTGATAAAGAACAATACTACTATTTGAATGATAAAGAAAGAACAATACTACTATTTGTATAAAAAAAAAAGTTAAATAAACTGAAGATTTAAAAGACAAGCAGGAGTAAAATTTAAAATAAAAAAATAACTCAGGTACTTATTGTATGATTTTGATTAACTTAATCACTCGTGTCTATTCTCTTCTGTAAATTTGGGAAGAAAGATATAACTTCACTGGGATATTATGAAGACTCCTTAAGGAACCATATGTGAAAGCCCCTGAGTCTCTTGAGGTTTCTGAATCAAGATCCTCTCTGGGGATGTAATACTTAAGCTGAAATCTGAGGGGCAAGTAAGTAGCTATTAAAAGGAGTTTTGACATTTCCAAAGGAAAGAGGTATATGTACGTGCGTGCGCACACGTGTCAAAGTGCCCATTCCAGGCAGAGTGACCAGTTGCTGAAGGCCTGCTTAAAACAACATCTAGGAAGACTGATGTGTGGTATATGACTATATTGCCTACACTTGGCAGGTGGAGGCAGGAAGATGGGGATTTCAAAGTCATTCCCGGCTGTCTAGCCAGTCCAGGGACAGCTTGGGTTTTGTGAGACCCTGTCTTAAAACCAAACCAAAGCAAAAGATTACTTAGAATATGACCCAATCGGATCATATTCTGATGTAATGCTTAAGTATTACATCCCCAGAGAGGATCTTGATTCAGAAACCTCAAGAGACTCTGGGGCTTTCACATATGGTTTCTTAAAGAGTCTTCATAATATCCCAGTGAAGTTATATCTTTCTTTCCAAATTTACAGAAGACGGCAAGGACCAAGGTCAAGATGGTAAGGTTAAGAGGGTGATATTATAGACACTAGGAAGTAGAACCCAAAAGATTTGATTATTGACTTGAGATGAGGCACATGTGTCAAGTGCTCGATGGGCACAAGACAGGTGAGGTGGGTTATCTGCAGAGACGTGTATTCTGAAGGAGTGTGGAGAGAGGGGGTGGAAATGGTGCGTCAGCTCTGCAACGGCTGAGTTCGAATGATCTATTTAAGAGGACGCAGTTGACTAGATTTATAAATTGGGTTCAGAAAAAAGGGGAGAAAGCTCAGGGTGCAAAGTATATCTGAAGAAGACAGACATCTGCGGTACAGAAGGCAGGACCAGGCTGAGCTAGGAGACTGAGTGAAAACAGGGAGAAGGCGACGCCACGTCAGCGAAGGGAGCAGACTGGAGGAAGTTACGCCTGTCTTTCCAAAATCAAAAGTTCTTTCTTCTTAGCTTCCAAATACACCAAAGAGTGCCTCACTGCTAAGGTGCAACAACTGATCCCGAAGGTCGGGTGCCCCGGTGCAGCCGAGGCAGCTGGGAGACCCAAGTGGGGAAATTTTGCACCACCTCCGTTGGCCCCTCGGGGCCTGCTCCTCCCAGGGGGCTGGAGCCATCCTCCTAAAGGTTGCCGATGTCCTAGGAGAAAACACGGGAGGGTCACTGACAATCGGAATCACTTACCAGGTTCACCACCTGGAGATGACAGGGATGACGATCTCGCGCAAGTCAAGGTCCGCCCGGAAGTGGCGTCAACGCCCGCCAAAGGGCGGGCTCCGGCCGATGGACTACAACTCCCAGCATGCCTCGCACCAACCATGGCCGAGCGTACCATACTGCAGCTGTTCGCCAAATGGCTAGAGGGCCGGGAAAGAGAAGGCTTCGTTTTCGAGAGATTTTTTTTTTTTAATTGGCTGAGACTTCTGTGTCCTACGGGCGTTCATCGATCTTCTCAGTCGTTCTGTGCGGACTCGAATGTTCCGGTGGCTGCCCGTAGCGTGTTGAGAATGGCTTCTCCCGTTCCCACGGCAACGCGGCCCAACAAGCGCCAGCTGCTGCGGGCTGAACCAGTGCGAGGCGCGCGCCGCTCGGCAGCGGTGCTGGAAGGCGCGGGTGCGGGCGCGGGCGCAGGCGCGGGGCTCCGGAGCTCTCCAAGCTCTGCAGAGGAGTGAACCCCGATTGGAGCTGGGGGCCTTCTGATCCTGGTTGTGGGATTGATTAGGTGCCCTTTGGAGAGGTGACTTGGCCTCGCGGACACGGGGTGTTCCTTAGATACCTGCCCACTTCAAGCCTCCTTTCCCTAGTTGAATTCAACATCAGTTCAATTTATTTTCTCCCTTTTAGCCAAACCCCTCCCCCCAGCCCCTTTGGCATAGAAAAAAATATTTATTGAGTGAATTGCAAGGTTGCAGTGGTCAGGGCTATAACAGAAGAACCGTCTTGTCCAAACTTTTTGAAGGGAGCTTGCCATATTCTGCTTGGGTGGAATTCCACAAGTTTCTTTTCTACTCCATTATAAGCCAAGATTTATGCCTTTAAAGTCCGTTTTTCTACTAATATCTGACCAGGTGGAGAGGATGGAAAAAGCATTTGTGAAATGTAGGAATGAATGTTTTGTAAGTATCATTTGTGAGTTAAGGTTGGGACGAAGTGGAAGGCTCTCATAGTCTTCCTCCCTGGCTGTGGCGGAACGTTGGGGCTACTTTGGTAAATAACTAAAGGAGTGGTAGGTGGTGTTAGGACTTGGCCATTCTAGCCACTCTGGAAGCTAGGCCAGAAGTTCCCTTGATTTCAGGAGTTCCATTCCAGTGTGGGCAGCTTAGTGAAGACCTTTGCCTCAAGAACGTGGTGAAGGGGATTCACACTCATACCATGGTTCCCAACTGGGGGAAAACAAACGATTGCCTACACCCTTAGATGGCCAAAGGAAGTTTGGGAAGGCTGTGCGCAAGTTGATCTGATGGGGTAAGGGGTGGCAGGTGGGGGATAAAAGAGATGATGATGAGCAAACCAATCAGTCCGAAAACTAAAAGGAATTAGGTCTGAAACTTAATGATCACTCTTTCTACTAAGAAAAACTTTCCCCTGTAGTTTTAAATGTAAAGTAGGATTTTGCTGCAAAAGAAGATCCAAGGACCTTTTTGAAGTTACCACCAAAGGAAGCAGTCATGCCTGGGGAAACAGGGAAAACCGACATGGAGAGGATTGGCCTCTTCAGTGAGATGGAATACGTTACTGTGGGAGATAAATATGTGTCACCCTTTAATCGTGAGTATCTTTGGTAGTTTTTAATAGTTAAATAGCATGCATGTCCCATACAATTTTTTAAAATTTTTATTTCAAGGGGACACACACACACACACACACACACACACACACAGAGAGAGAGAGAGAGAGAGAGAGAGAGAGAGAGAGAGAGAGAGAGAGAGAGAGAGGTTCTCTCTATTATGTATCTCTGGCTGTCCTAGATTAGGATGGCCTTGAACTCCCAAAGATTCACCTGCCTCTGCCTCCCGAGTTCTGGGATAAGGTGTGTGCCACCATGCCTGGTAATACTTATTTTTGATGGTTATTTATTTTAGAGCATTGAGTTCTAGTGTTGACATTGCGTCACTGTGACAACCTGTAACTTTGCAGCAGAGTTAAGGACTTAATTTTGTAGGAGTGGGAAGCTCATTTTATTGGGCTCCTTTACCTTCATTTATTCTTTTTTTCCCTTCACTTATTCTTTAAAAATTTTTTTAGACTTATTTATGTTTTATGTGTATATTGCCCACATGTGTGTTTGTGTACCACGTGCATGCATTGTGCCTGAGGAGACCAGAAGAGGGTGTTGGTTCTCCTGGAACTGGAGTTACAGATGGTTGTTAGCTGTCATGTGGGTGCTGGGAAACAAGTGCCTTTAACCACTGAGCCATCTACATTTATTCTTCATGGGTAATTTTATTTCTTTCCAGGGTAAGTTCCTTCTAGGATATTGTATGCTTATCTTTAAATTTTTTAAAATTGGTTTATTTAATGTGTATGAGTATTTGGCTGCATGTATGTATGTGTACATGTGTGCCTGGTGTCCATGCACGTAATGAAGGGGGTATTAGATGCCCTGGTAACTGAAGTTCTGGGAAGTTAAAACAGGTCCTCTGCAAGATCAGCAAGTGCCCTTATCCGCTGAACCGTCTCTCCCGTCCCATGGTTAGCTTTTTTGTTTTCGATAGGAACACTATTCTACAGAAAGCATTTGAATCCATGAATGGTATCCATTATCACTTGTCTGAAAAATAAAATGCTAACTGAACAGCTGAAAGATTTCTTTTTAAAGAAAAGCCACTAACAAAAAGATCTTGTGGTTGTCCATTACAGTAATTCTAGTACTTGGGAGGCAGAAGGATTGGGAATTTAGGGTTGGCCTGGGCTGCAGGACATCCCTTCTCAAGAAAAAAAAAATACTCTAAATATATACTTTCAAAGTCTCAGGTTTTGTATATAAAAAAAATTAACTGATATAGGAACATGTCCAAGGTAAACTCAAAAAGCAAGATATAGAGTAATAAATATATGTATATGCTAAGCATTAATTATGAAAAATGGTACACAATATTCATGATCATATCTAGACATTCTCTGGGCGACAAAATTAATATCATTACCTGTGAAAGGAAAATAGATAACGAAGTACAGCAAAAAAGCCTCTTTAAGATGCTTATAGGGTAGAATTTGAGGTTATATGTGCAACCTTTTCAAAATTTTAAGTTAATAGGAGACAGGATCACTGTGAGTTCAAGGCCAGCCTGGTCTACATTGAGAATTCCAGACTAGCCAAGGATACACGGTGAGACCCCGTTTCAAACAAAAAAAGCAAAACAAAAGCCAAAACCAGTCTACTGAAAACAAACAAGAATTTAAGCTACCAAAATCAGTAAGCAGATTCACATTTCAGTAGCCCCCTGAATTTAGTGTTGTGTATACTTTAAAAAATTCTTTGCACCTTGAAAGTTAAGACCTTCAAGATTCAAATTATGAAAATCTACATATTCACAAAAATCAGCCTTTAAACAAATTCCTAGACTATGTTATTTTGTTGTGCAAATATGACAGTTGAAAATTTATCATTTAGATAGACATTGGGCTGTTTCTTGTGTTCATTAAAAATGGAAGTGCTGTGGACATTCTGGGATCATAGTGAACATAGGCACTTAAGCATTTTAAGAATATACCTAGGAGCCAGGCGGTGGTGGCGCACACCTTTAATCCCAGCACTTGGGAGGCAGAGCCAGGCAGATCTCTGTGAGTTCAAGGCCAGCCTGGGCTACCAAGTGAGTTCCAGGAAAGGCGCAAAGCTACACAGAGAAACCCT